TTGTCATGTTTTGGCGTTTTACGCTCTCGTCAGTTCATTTTGTACCCGCGAAAATATGTTTGATAAGACAGACATTGCATAATTATGTCCAATTGTGGGTCGTGTTCACAGAGTGCATGTATGTCCATGCGGTTTAACTGTGGCTTACTGCTTACCTTTCAAGCATACGTGTGTTGCTTTGGCTAGTTTATTGAATAGTTAGTATTTGTTGTTGTAGTTCTGCTCCCTGCTTTACGCACGTTAGATCTACACCTGGGGATATATTTCAATTAGTGTGGTAATGTCCTCAGTTGTGCGTGTGAATGAAGCCAGTATATTATTTTCTATTGGGACATGACTATCCTTTAGATTGTGGGCTAGCGAGGACGACTGATGTAAGAAATATTGATTGGCTATTTATTGTCTCTGACAGTGAGTGGTCTGGGCGTGGAGTTGTCCACATGTTTATCAGTGGACTGGGTAATATTATTGTATTACTCGTGAGTGTTTGTCTCGCTCTGATAAAAAAAAAAATGTCGATATGTGAGGCAGCGTGGTGGAATCAGGCTCTCGTCGAAATAATCAAAGTGAAGAAACTTGCATTTTTCCACAGGTTTGTGAATTTTTTTCTATTTTTTTATATTTTTTTTGGCTCAACACCGTTCATGGCCATTAAAGAACTTATTTCTGTATGGATTTTCCTGAAAAACGTTGATTAAAGGCACACGTCTGTAAACCTTTAGTTACCACCGACTCTTAAGATAAGGAAATAACAAATCTTTGGCGGCCATTTTCTAACTTATATTACCTCTGAAAACAGGTGACCCCACCTCATTCTTTTGCAAATACCTCAACTTGTATTCAAGATGTATGGATATTTCTTTCATCCAAAATTGAAAAAGACAAGTGAACAATCTTTCAGATGGTACCAATAACTATTGGCTCAAAAATTGATGAGAGCCTGATTCCACCACACTGCCTCACATATAATTCTATGCAGCGCTATGTAGACGAAAGATCTCAGATGATAAATACAGTCGAAAGTATCTGAGACGGCCACCCATTGCCGAGGAGAAAAGTAGCCGTCTTGTACGGCTGACGATCTTACGCACTGTATAATAATATAAGCAATACACAAGGGATGAAATGGGAAGTGGTCGTTTGTGCTTGTGTTTGTCTTAGACAAGGTCGCCGTTTGAGCAGCTTCAACTGTATCCGTGTTTTTCAAGAAGCGATGGAGATCTCCTGGCGTATTACACGGTGCTTAACTTGTATTTACATTCTTCTGTATACACATACGTAGGATTATATAAGGTACGGGAATCAGTTCTTGGCCCTAACTAGTGTTTGAGATTTTAACGAATGAAAAACATATCCCGCCCGACGAGGCGTGCAGATGCTAAGTTTTCTGTGGTAACCGTTTAACGCCCGACTGAACACGAAGTCGGTTTTTTTCGAAGGCAGTGTTGTTGGTTCCCTGGACACCGAGCTGAGAGGAATTGTTCTAAAAAGGATCATTCCGGGTTCGTACTTCAAAATTTCCGCTTAGTATATCAAATATATGCTACACCACAACTGCCCAAACGATGCCATTTACATAAATTGTTACCGGAGAATGATGGGCGATAAAATGATAAGTTAATAGAGCTTATCTGTATTGACAATGGGACTTAATTTTTTTTTCTCTATCCTCGTCAGTGACGGGAAAGGGCAGTTGCTGCACATTCTGCACAATGATTAGCACAAACCCAAAAGAATAATGACTCTCATCCTGGCTTGTTCATGAAAGTCTACGTCGCTCCTTCCCCCTCCCTTATTTCCTCAAGCAAACAAAGACCCCCAGGCGAGCGAGCGCGCGTACGCACGCACGCACGCGCACACACACACATACACACATACACACACACACACACTCAGCGCGCGCACCCGCTATAATTTTCTCAGACACATGCATACATATCCAAACGATTGCTCACTAACGTAAATTTTATTCTAACACATGTTATGAACACTCACACACAAGCACGCATGGGCTCGTGGATATAAACGTAATGGTGCACGCTTGCGCTCTCACGCCCGTATTATCACACAACATACGTACGAACGATAGACACTAGCCGAAGTTCGCTTGTGCGCATATTTGATTTTTCTGTCGCGCGAATGCAAGATAAGAAGACTGTTTTAATGCCTCACACACTAGTGATAATATGAGTACAGATTTTCGTACACTGGAGGGATAATGTGTTCTTGCTGCTCTCCGTGTGAATGGTAGCATCTGTTGTTCAGTTTGCAATGAAAATAATAGGCTTCTAGGCCGCAAGACTTATTGTGTAGGCGAGAGAGGAGGAGGGGGGGGGGGTCTCCGTCTCGGCACAGGGGTGATACCATTAATGTTCTGTTTAGGAGTGGAAATGGGGTGGGGTGTTGATGGTGATATGATGAACATCATGTCTAGGCCTTACTTGTACACATTCTTGGCATAGAGGTGATGCAGAGTCCAGAAATGAAGTTGAACATGGTGTGTATTTTGACGGTGTGGGGCGGAGGGAGGGGTGATCCAATGTTTTGTCTAGGTTTGGAGGTGATACATTGTACTCTCTACTCTCTAGACGTTGAAGTGATACAATGTCTTATCAAGGAGAGTAAAAATGATGCGGTGTTCAATCTGAGCGTGGAAGTGATGGCATTGTTCTTTTGTTTTGGTCAGTGTTTTACGGCGCTCACAACTGCATAAGTGACACTGTTACGGCGTGAAAGTGGTCCAGTAGGCTGTCGAAATGTGTGGAGTGATGTGATGTTCTGTTTTTAATACATGGAAATTACACGGTGTAGAGTTATGAAAGTGTACCTGTGAGCCCGCTACATATATTAATTCTATGCGAATAAAGGACTGGTGTTTTACTGTGCAGTTTGTGACCATGTCGCGTGAAAGTCACATAACACACATGTGTGTAGTACACATTGCTCTGTGACACACGACGGTGTGCTGATGTGATTCCCGAACAGTAAGGCGTATGCTGTGTGCAATGCTCAAACGTGTGATCGCCAGCCTGCTCCACCGGGCGGCCGTGGTGCTCTGGGGTTCAAAACCAGACAAATCAACAACATGCGAAGGTGAGGTGGGAGTCCTGTGGGAACCAACGTCGTTATTTACATGACATGTAGAGGCGGGTTTTGTTTGGAATGCATTTTAATCATTGTACAGGGGTGTGTGGTTGTGCGGGTGCTCTGGTTTGGTTTGACCTTTTGTTCCTGTCAAACATCTATCGTCCTTATATCTCCTTCTTTTTCCCTTTGAATATTACTTTCTAGTAACACTTCTAATCCTCGGCACTAATATGGCCGATTTCTGTTGCAAGTACTGAAAAATTCTTACTAAAATTTTAAACAGCATTTAAATCGCTTTACCGGTATTACTGTTGAAGTAAATGAAAATAAGTCTTTCATGATAAATTCTTGTTGATGGCTTGCGCCCCTTAACTACTTGGTATTGTATGATTAATTTATCGGGTTTTGTGCAAGCTGGCACATGTTTATTTGTGTATTGACGTCTGGTGATAATTTGCGCCCCCCCCCCCCAATCCCCATACCTTCTCGCCCATCCCAGTCTCCAAGGGCTTACTCAACAATTAAAATTCTGCTGTTGTAGTTTTATTGCAAATGCTCCCGGTGTGTATGTCTGAGACCCTACTCTCCGCCCCTGAGCGGAGTCCCTGCTGTAAGTTATATAGTCATACTCTTATAATATACTTTTCTGCCCTACGCTGACAAAACGCCTTTTTCTTATTCACATCAGTTTCGAGAAAATATAAGTGACTCTCGGTTTTCTTATTATATTATCTCAGCTATTTTGCACAGTACGTCCACGGTTGATCTTGCACCCTGAAGAGAATGTCATCCCCTATGCTCAACAGATATTAAAAGAATACCAAAAATCGTTGTTGATTTCTCGAAACTGCTGTGAATAAGAAAAACATATCCAGCTTAGGGCAGTTATCACAATACTACTGTAAAAGTGATATAACGAACTCATAAGGAGTGATAGCCCATTCACTTGGCAGAAGACTTTCCCGAAGTAATAGTTCTACCTTCCGGATCGTTTCTGTCAGTTGTGCGAACTGGAAGGACATCAGAAGTGAACAGTCGACGGACAAGGGTCTGTGTTTTCTGTGCACTTTGAAATTGTTTTTTCAACAGCAGCCGGGTGTTCCAGTTCTTGCTTTGTTTTGTGAGGAAGGAATTTCCTTTGGAAATCTTTCCGGTTACTTTTAGCGAAATGTAAGTGGGCTGTTGGTGGGTGCTCTTGTGTACTGCGTTACTCATATTGCTGATATCCTTTTCTGGTTTGTGCCTCTTGCATGGTATATTAGTATGAGCAGTGTCACAGTCTTGGTCCAGGCACTCTGTTTGCTCGCCTAGGACTGTAGACTTTAGTATGAGCCAGTGGGGTCTCAGTTCCATTTTGAACGTCTGTTTTTAGTTTGTTATTTTTGTAAGGCTCTCCGTTCTTTCCCTCCATTTATTGCTAAAGACCGGTTACTCTCTCTCTCTCTCTCTCTCTCTCTCTCTCTCTCTCTCTCTCTCTCTCTCGAT